GGTTTTTGCTTAATTTTTAGAGCCAGATGCAAATTTTGTAAAAAGAAATTATCTATTTTTGGTGTTTGGTGCAATTTTTGGATTGTACTTTTAAAGAATTGACAAGACTTTACGGTGTTTCTGATTTTTTGTTCTCTCCCATAACATAAAATATCCACATTTTTAAAAATATTGAAGCAAAACATAAGTGCTCATTTTTATAAATTTAGAAGACCAATGTATTTAAGGCATCATTTTAAACCTAGCCATAAACATAAGGAATCATATTTGTCATTTTATCTTCGTCATTACAAAAATTATTTTTATTTTGCTTTTAAAAAAATAAATTAATTGTTTTTCGTTGAATTGTGTGGTCCTATTAAATTTTTTTCATGAGACTTTAATTCCTTATTGACAGCCGCACAATTATTTATTATTATATATATATATATGTTTGACAGAGAAAATAAATAAATCATAGGAACATATAATGCAGTTTCCAAAAATCATAACGTGGAGATTCTTCCCATGTGAATTTGTGAGTAAATTGTGCCAAGGTCTTAGGAACAACTATTAATTGATTGATTTTAATCAACAGCTCAATGGTCAAAAAAATTAATTTAAAATCGAATCGGAATATTTAGTATTATTTCTTAATATAATTTTTCGACGAAGAGATAGTTCAAAGACTAATTCAATATTGTATATGGTTATGTCACTGCTTTTAAATACTCTTATGGCATAATATTTTGACTATAAAAGTATATATTTTTAAGAATAAATGAAAAGCTTAAAATTATTTAAATTTAATTTATTTATTATATTTTTTTAAAAATGTAAAAGTGGCTGTGTGCACCAGCTTTCATTGTAAACATCTTCTGGCACAAGCATGCCACTGTCTCCCCTTTTTAATGATTTATTATATTTATATTATTATTATTTCTATTATGTAATAAATAATTTAATAATCATAATAATAATAATAATAATAACAATATTCGTGATCTCAAAGCTCACTATTTGTTCACCCAATGCCACTAAATGCAGCTTCAGATATAAAATATTTTTTTCTAAATATAAAAAATGGTGTATTGTTTATAATAAAATATTTTGTAGTGGTAAAATTTTAATAGGAGTAATATCTATATTCATCAAAGAATAAAAATGATTTTATTTTGAGGATGAAAAGGAAAAGAGTTGACTTTTGCCTGAGAAATTTCAATAACAGCTAATGATTCCAATGTCCTTTTTCATTATTGGTGTTTGAATTTATGAGTGTTTAACGGTGAGATTTTCGCGATATTATTATGTAATAAATGATTTAATAATAATAATAATAATAATAATCGCGTGTCAGTCATTTGTTATCTCTAAGCTCACTATTTATCCACCCAATGCCACTAAATGCATCTTCAGATATAAATTACTTTTTTTCTAAATAAAAAAATGGTGTATGGTTTATAATAAATATTTTGTAGTAGTAAAATTTTAATAGGAGTAATATTTATATTCATCAAAGAGTAAAACTGATTTTATTTTGAGGATAAAAAGGAAAAGAGTTGACGTTTGCCAGAAAAATTTCAACAACAGCTAATGATTCCAATGAATCCTTTTTCATTATGGGTGTTTGAATTTATGAGTGTTTAACGGTGAGATTTTCGCGATATTTATATTAAATTATATAATTAATTCGAGAAAAAAACTCCAAATACTGCATTATTTTCAAACTAATCCTATTTCTTTTTTATGTATGGACTACTAATAATTCACAATTTGTGATAAAGTGTATACTTATCGTTTAATCTTAATCTCTGTTTTTTCTTTTAATAATAGAGAACTTTAAATTTTGAATCAGCCTCATATAATATCAAAATAGGTAAGGGGCCCCTTTAAATTTATAATGCAGTTTCCATGTTGATTCTTGGCTATAAGCCTATAACTAAGCATTAACTGTGAAAATTCCGTTAAATTTTGAATTTGTCTCTATTGTAGTGTTGCGACTTATTTAATTAAATTGTGAACTAATGACGGATTGGTTTGGATCTTCTCTCAATTAATTTAGTGGCAATCAAATACTCCCCCTTTCATGTTACTCGATCCATGTTGGTCTCTAACACATTTTTTAAAAATTATTTTAAATAATGATGTATTTTACTAAACTAATCTTATTAATTATACTTTGAAATTCTAAATTTGACTAGTACTATTTTATTTAGTTATTGGATACTAAGACCAATAGAGAAAAATGTAATTAAACTCTCAATTTGTTAAATAGAGAAGTAAAAAAAATAATCTAGTATTGATACAAAAAATCAAATAAAATGAAACAGAGTATATATATTAATCAAGTATTATTTAGTAATCAAGTGACATGAATATTTTATTTTATTTTAAAAAAAGGAAATTTTAAAATTTATAGTTTAAAATAGGTCATAGATATTTGTTTGGTTATACATCATTTCATTAAGGATAAAATTAATATTGTAACTAAATTATTAATAAATATTGAATATATCTTTTCTTTAGACGGACTAGAAAAATCAGTTATACAAATTGAGACAAAAGAAAACATGTAATAATATCTAGATAACTTATTGAGTTATTGTACTTCATTTGAAAAAGATGGCAAATATTTACATAGGCGAAGCTAGAATTTTAAGTTTATGAGTTCTGAATGTTGTAACGACGATTTCAAGTGTTAATCACTGAACTCTAAACATAATATTTGTACATATTTAATAACTTTTTAATACAAATACATTATTTAAATAAAAATTACTGAACTTGACCAAATTTATATCTGAACTTCTAGCTCCGCACTAGAATATTGATCATAGTATCACCTCATCATCTTAGTGTAGAACAAGGGTAATAGAATAAAAGTTTGGATATACCAACTTTGGTAAATAAGCATTGATTGCAAACCATAAATTTATGAGACCACTTTATTAGGAATGCCTTACTTTATACGTATGCTTAGAAATTAGCATTCATTTTCACATTTGGTCCACTTCACCAAAGTGGAATTCACAAAAACTGTGACAATTCGAAAATATTTCATCCGTCCAACAATAGTTGTTCACTATACTAAAAATAGTTATGTAATAATACTTGTCCAATTTAGAATATCAAGAGATAATTTATATTTTGCGTCTATTTTACCCTTGCTATTAAACACTATTTATTATCTAACACATTCATCAAAACATTAAATTTAATAAAGTCAAAGGATAATTTAGTAATATTATCTCTATTATTTATTGTTTCTTAAGGGGTATGCCAAGTCAACAGTGGACAACTATTGTTGGACGGTGGGAATAGAAAACAATTCTTTTTCCCATTAAATTTCACGATTGGCCATTTATCAATTGAACTTGTATCTATAAGAGCACATAACATAATTAACTTGAAGAATATTAATAACAACAATAACATATTCATCAAATTTTTTACTAAATTGAGTCTGGGAGGATAAAATGTACGCAGGTCTTACCATTACCTCGAAAAGGTAGAGAGATAGTTTTCGAAAGACCGTTCACTCAAGTACATCACTTGAAGAATATTATGACATAAAAATATAAATTTATGTCCCGAAAAAAGAAATTGTGACAACTCGAATGTTTGTGACCATGTTTGTATAAGCCTGCAGGTCCATCATTATAATCCAATTGGTAGAGAATGTCCAAATCATATTATTGGGCCACTCTTCATCTTAAGTTGGGCCATTATGTGTCAAATACAAGAGAGCTGATCGGATCACTCACTTCATTTGTTGCATAAATTCGTGACAAATAACACAAATCTCATTAGTTTAGAATCTAATTAGATGTCTTTATTTCAGTTTTCAAAATTATCTTTCGTATCACATTTACTTCACCAGATATATGTATTTGGACCACGCATATACATGCGGGTTAAATTAGGTGTAATTTATTTTAGATACATTATATTCAAGTGTGATTTACATATATATGAGATACACTAACTCTCTCATTCGCCTCTCTCCCTATGTATCTAGTATGATTTACATATATTTGGGATCCACTTTCCTCTCTCCCTATGTATCTGTATTTTTAGAATGTATCTAGTATCAAGATACATATCAAGTATCTTTAATACATGCATCAAACTTGAAAATCGTTACAAAATATTTAATTAGTAAGACAATATATAATTATTTTAAACTGTAGAATGAATTAGTATTTAAGATAGGAATATTTGTATAATTAAGTAGTTTTTCCTATATTGAGGGCTCACTGTATTTTTGGCAATTGGCATGTATATAATTAAGGCATGAATTTAACTATCAATCTTGATTTACACCAAAACAGATGAAAATATTGGAGAAACTCCATTTCCACTATCATCGATCTCATCTAGATTATATCATCCAACTTCACCTCTAGAAAAAATCCTCTCAATTCGTCAGTAGCTCTTGAACAATGCTATATAGAAAAAGACTAAATTGTATTAAGTTATTTTATGTCATATGGTTGATAACTTGACATACAATGTCAATGTTCCTAATTGTATTTTCGATAGATGTGAGATGGAAATTAAACAAGTTGGTTAACATTAGTTTTTTTAAATAACAAGTGTTTTTTTTTTTATTGTTGCAATTCAATATAGTCTTTGTTAGTGTGTTTAGATTATCCCTTATTGTGTGGTTGTTATTATTGTTTACTTATTAATTGCTTTGTTTTTGTTCATTGTCTTTTTCTCTTTTTTTCCAGACCTATTTTGATATGTAGTATTCGAGGCAAAGGTCTTCCAGAAACAACCTCTTTACTCCTCCACAAGTCTAGAGTATGATCTGTGAACGTTCTTCCCTCAATAGACCCTACTTGCGGAATTTCATTGGAGTTATTGTTATTGCAATTCTTTGTTTCTCTTTTCAAGTACAACTTACAAGCACGAGATATTTATATTAGATTAGACATTAGACAAATAGATGTATGAATAGAGTTGTCAATATGAATCGTCTCAGCTCAAACAGCTATCCTATATACTCAAGTATACTTGTCGACAACCAGGGAACAAAACAAGTCCTAGTGTGAATCAACAGAATTATTTTTCAAATCCTATAGTCGTCGATATCAATAGGAAAGGGCCCCAATTTGACTAATATTTGCACTTTCCTCCTTTGGAAGAATAGCATTTCACAGAACAATCATTGGATTATTAGAATCAGAAAGCAGAATAAATAAACATAAACAGGATTTAACAACATTCAGAGCTTCTGTACAGACCCCCCATTTCTTGCCCTCACTGGCCCTTAAACATAACCAAATGACCAGGTATAATTATTGAAAATTTGTCTTGGTCTCTGATAAATTCCTTGGACTTCTCTTCACAGCAAACAGCTTTGAACTTTTCAAGTACATGGTTTTCCCTGCCCAGATTCAGATGGGACAAAGACTATCCAAATATTTCAGCATTGAGACTAACTACGCAAAACCTGCTAAGAGAGAAGAAATTATCATTAGTTACTAACACAAACAAAAACCTTCAACCGGTGAGTATAATTGTAAAAGAACAACATATGATTGAGAGATTGTATTAGCTTCATGAATGTGTTCCAAGGAAATGTGTACACAAACACAACCTTTCTATGAGTAACATGAAGGACTATTTGATATATGGGCATCAATGCTTGAGTTTAAGACAAACACAAACAATTTTTTACTAATGAGGAAACTATTAGTGACTGTCAAATTACAGTGAAGAATCAGAAACTAATATAGCAAGAGTCATATAAACTATGGAGAACCAACTGACCACCAATTGTGCTCATGGGAAACAAAACACTATGACCTCTAGATGAGTACAGCCAGGTGTGAAGGATTAGGTTTCATCAAGTCCAAAAAATATGTTATAAATGAGAATTAAAAGATACAGAACACGACGTGAATGAAGAATCTACAAAAGTTGATGAGAGCACAAACCATTTATTCAAACTTGTAATATTATAGAAGACTTCCAAGTATTGCGATGATTAGAGACAACAGACAAGTATGTCTTCAATAATCAAACAATCATCATGTCAAGCTAAAGAAAACAATCACCTAAGGCTCAAGTTTGCTGCTGTATGCAATTTGTGAATGAAGTTCCGTTAAGCCTACTGACATGACAAAAACCTGCAGTTTCGCCATCTCGAGCTGTTCTCTCTTTTCTTCTACCGGAGAAAGAACGTAATGCTTCATTCTGATTGATACTAAACTGCTTTGCTGAAGATATATTCTTGTTCTGCTTGGCAGCATCCGTTTCTGGCTGACTATACACTACATCCTGGCTCCCAGTGGAGAAGGATATTCTTGATTGTGAATTTTGCCCTTCTGGACTTCTCCAAAACTTAGGACCCAAAAATTCTGCACGAGGGATCATGCCGCATGTACTTCCTGTAAAATCAGTATCTGAAATCCTCCCTGTTGTTATTGCCAAATCATATTGCATTTCATCAAGTAATCTCTCCAAACCATTTACACGTTTCTCTAAGGAATTCATTCCATGTCGTGAGCTGCCAATAAATCCCTGCAATGAAGAAGAAATAGGCTGAGCTCAGCATGTGTCTCTTGGCACAAATATACAACTCATTCCTCTTCAGGTTGTGACATCAACTAAATGGAGACCAAACATTAAATATGATGTTCGAAGCGGTGCTGAGGGAAGGAGAAGAGAAATGTACCTGCAGGAGGTCTAACAAACTGGACTGTTGATTTTCAATCTGAACAAGCTGTTTGCTGACAGAACAGAAATTCTCGTACTCTCTATGACTCAAGAGTGCATCTTCGTTGATGTTGTCATCAGGTACATCCATGTCCTCAAAGAGTGGAATAACCCGAGACCCAAACTGTGAATTACCATATCTGTGGAACTTCTGATCCGGTGGTCTGTTGAATAGAGTTGACTTTACTTCTGAGTTTGAACTGCTACAACTAACTGAATCCACTGAACCTTGAACTCTAAGATTTTGACTCTTCTGTTCTTCACAAGCTACCTCCAACAAAGAAGCCTGTGAAACAGTGTGCTTTGCTTTTGCATCAGGGGATTTTCTAAAATCCAGCTTACAGGAGCTCGTAACATTTGATTTTGTGCGGCGGAACCTAATAGAACTATTTTTCTGGGAGGTGATCGAGGAAGAACTACTGGATGCAAGTGACTTGGTTGAGCGGATTGCTTTCTTCGGCTGAGGGGTTTCCGTAGCTGTATCACTCGAACTTTTGGAAGGAGTTGGAGAACAGGCACCGCTAACACAATCTGGAGACACAAATTCATAGTTCTGTAAATATGGCACCTCATAGGATAATTTTAGTAGCAGAATGTAGGTGAATAAAGTAATGCATTTACAATAAGAGCTTAAAGATGAAAATAGGAAGAATCCATGGCATTCTCTAGTAGAAACATGGCATACAGTTATGTAACAGCTGACATTAAAATAGCAACAAGGACAGGAGACAAAGATGCAACACTTGAAAAGGGAAAATAGCCCGAAAGCTCGCTATAACCAAAGTTGGAACAAAGTAATTACGATGCAGATGTGGCTGAAATAGTTTAGTTACTAAAAGGACTATTTTTCAATCGATGAAACTGGAAGTATGGAAACTAAGGGTTAATTAAAGTCCAAGATTCCCTGGACCTGGACTCATCTGACAAGATAAGTTTCTAAGCATGTGTATAGCATGTGATGATCAATCAGAAAAAACAAGTGTTTTGTCTGGACTCTGGAGAACATAAAAACTTGAAAAAGAATTTTTAGGAAGAAAAGGAGTTCACAAATTTTAAAATTTAAAATTTGTGCGGGAGTGGACAGGTAAAATAGTAAAAAAGCTCGGTAACCATCTCCCTAATTGCAACCACACTGGCCAGAATATAACTCTCTCGTCATCAAAAAAAAACTCGCACCAGACCTACGACAATCTTCAGTAAGCTTCATTTTGAGCCAATATTTCCATTTTCGTAGTGTAGAGGAATTCAGATTCCACTTCAGTCAATCAACATTCAAGGGAACTTGTGTTAACATAATCTCTCTAACAAACTCGAAACTAAATCCAATTTGAATACTATTCAATGCTCTTTCTTAACATGACTAGCTATTTTTGAATCCTCTCATCTCCATGATTGCTTAGAAGGAAAGAAAATTATTGACAGAACATAGTAATAACATATGAAAACTAAGGAAATCCAAGAATTATTTAAACCCCAAGCCTTTCTACAAAGAAAAAAATAAATTATTTCAACAGAACAGATTAGCTTTTATTGGAAGTTACCTTTCTGTGGAAACTTGGATTGTAATTGAGGCAAAACATCATCTGAAGCACCTGGAACTTCCTTCCACCATTCTAACGCCCGATTCATTGTCTCTCTCACAACCTTCACCTATAGATTCAAAGCAGAGTATTGTATAAGCCAATTCTTCTTAATAAATTTATAAGATTTTAGATTAGAATAAGATCAGCAGTCTATTATTACTCCATTTCAAAAATAAATGACAAAAGGTAATGAAGTTCTCCTATCAATCATTTCTAAACTTTATGGTAAATAGATTTACTGTAGTTCATGTATTTTGTACCTTATCGAATCTTCTGCTATCCAATGACGTGATGCAGAACGCCTTCAACTCTGACAACAACTCTTTCTCGGAAACAGCCAACCGTCCCAATGTCTCCGCCGCAGCCTTCCGCACAGTCCAATCTTCACTACTCAACAACTCAGCTGTAATTGGAACCAAGCTATTCAATACATTCTTATTGGAAGCACCACCAACACTAACAATACTACTAATGAGCGACAGCAACGCCGGTTTGGCTTTAAAGGAATCATTCTTCACCAATTTCATGAGCTTCGACAACATTTTCTTCAGCTCCGCCGGCTCAGGATCAGGTGATGCTTCAATTGCCGCAGCAAGGCAAAGCGAAGCTCCGATCTGCGAATTATTATCCTGCTCGTGCATAATAGCGTCGATTAACGGCTTCAAAATAGACGAAAACGGCGGTTGAGTAATTTCCGACGCAATGGAGGAAACAGCTTCTACACAAGCAGAGCGAACAGCTGAGTCAGGGTCACGAAGTCGCCGGAGTACAGTAGAAAGCATTTTCGTTAGATGCGGTGATAAAGCATCTCCGTGAGAAGCTGAGAGAACTCCGATAAGCCGAACACATTGCCGACGCACCGGCGATTTATCGGAAGAGTCCGTACTCGAAATACAAGTCAAAAATGCACCAAAACCTTCACTGTTAAGACTCCTAGCTATAGACTCCAGCTCATTCGTAGCAACGGTGAGAGTATCACGGTCAGATAATCTATTGAGACAAGTATTCACTCTGTTTTTCAGATCACTAGGTTGTCTCTGTAGCGCCATTGATGGCAAAATGGAAAATACTCCGTCGGCAGAAAGGTAACAGTGAGGCCGGAAACGGAAGTGTAGATCGCCGGAGTAAGGTTGAAGTTACCGCCGGCGACGGTTACAGTGGCGGTGGTGAAATGAGAGGGAAAAAAGGAAAGTGAAGTGTGAATGTGGCAGTCAATGGAGCTGGTTTTATATGTTACAGAAGGAACGTGGGAAGGAGTAGTGCGATAAGTTAGGCAGGGAATTTATTGTCTGCACGATGGCTCAGCTGGTTACAGTGGAACTTCTTGTAAATATAATTATTATTATTCCCTGATAATAATAATTAAATTTCATTAATAAATATAATACAAAAATATTTCATATACACATAATGTTATTATTATATGTCTACTTTTTTAACAAGAATTATTAATTGAACAATATTAATTAATTTTAATTGTCAAATGTAAGGTTGTGGTCTAAAATATAATGTAATATTTAATTGAAAAATCATCTTGATCGGATCAAAGCAAACAATAATATTGAATCAAGCGGTTGTTTACCTTGAAATAATTCATATATAGCTACCAACTTTACCATAATAAAGGGAGATTAATTCCTTACTACAAACATTCGACATTTACTATAGTGAAGTCCTTCACTTATTTTTCTCATCTTATTTATTTTATTCATCATATTTTTAGCTTTGTCCTATTAAAAAAACGATGCTATTGGAATTGGCTAGAAACAAGGGAGAGAGGAGCGCATTAAGATATGCTCCGATTATAGTTATAGGTCTATTTTTTTAACGAGAACTATTAATTGGGTAATATTAGTCAAATTTTTTTTTATCAAAATGTGAAATTATGGGTGAAATTAATGTAATACTTAATTCAATTATTGTTATTATTATTACTATTATTTTAGGTCTATTTTTTAACAAGAATTATTAATTGAACAATATTGATCAATTACTTATTTTTTCAAAATGTGAAATTGTGGTGGGAATTATAGTAATATCAACTCCAAATTGTTGTTATGATTAATATATAGGTACCTACTAAATCTTTTTTTAAATATCACAAGATTGTCCTATTACATCACTAGATACATTCATCTGACTTATTATATTCTTCTCCACTGCAAGAAGATTACTCCCTACCAACTTTGGTGTACTTTCAAAAGGCTCATTTTATTGCGAAGTATAAGGTATAATAATTTCGAAATAATATATAGAGTTATTTTATTTCATGTTTGATCAGAGGTATTACTTCTTTCGTTCCATTTTATATGAGGTAGTTTGACTCGGATTGAAGTTTAAGAAAGAAAAGACTTTTAAAACTTATGGTTCAAAATGAAAGATAGAAATTTGTGTGGCTGTAAATCATTTTATTAAGGGTAAAATAGATATTTTATACTTAAATTGTTACTAGTTAATACTTGAATTATTTATTTCATCATTTTTGCCATAGTAATGGGACAAGTTATCGAATATATATGATAAAATAATTTATGTTGAAATGACTTATCTCAAAATTAATAATTTCAAGATAACGTGTTCTCAACCAAACCATCCCTTACCATATAAATAATGAAGGTTAATATCTACTCACTTAACTATACGTGATCGTTTAGTATGTGAATTGAATTATTTTGAAATTATAATTTTAATATTATAATTTTGAACTAATTTATGTCATTTGGGAGATTAAAGATGCGATAAAATAATTTTAAATTGAATAGAATAAAATGAAATATCTTAAGATTAAGCATGAAATAAAAATTATATTGTATTTGATAGACTATATAAATTTATCCTGATATATCAAACACGATACAAATCTTATTTAAAATTTAATTTCAAAATATCTTACTTTGTCCTGCATAGCAAACGACAGCTATATATATCAATGGTACTTGAAAGAAAATGGGTCATACAATTTCTACAAACAAGATTAATCACTTGTACCAGAATGGTCCATATACATGATTTTGGGTATTTTGAGGGGCCAAGGAATATCTCACTTTAAAAATAATAATAAATACAACCTAAGTTAAAACTTTTGCTAAAATGAATTGGATAATATTGTTGCTACCCAATATTTTTCATTTTCCTATTGGAAAAAGACAAATATATCATCGAACTATTATATATGGTATATAAATATCTTCCGTCATACTTTTGAAATATTGGTGTCCTTACCGTCCAAAAATTATAGAATATATGCCCTTCACTCTAGCGGAAGACTAAATAGGGACACGTGGCACAATATTATCCGTCGATCCGATATTTAATAAATGTCGAGTCGATGGATAAGATTATAACACGTGTATGTCCGTTAGTATAAAGGGTATATATACTCTAGTTTTTGGACGGCAGGGACACCAATATCCCAAAAGTATAACATAAGGTATTTACATACTATTTACGATAGTTCAGGGGTATATTTGTCATTTTTTCCTTTTCCTAATTATTGTAATGTCTGCACAGAGTGATTGCAACTCAAACTTAAATATAAACTTAATACATAATCCGAAAGATCACATAATGCAACATATATCAAGGAGTTAGATCGTAGCTTGCATAAGAAAGAAGCTAATCAATCATAATTGAGACAGAGAAAAAATGTGAAAGAAAGATTTTCGAGCCTCACCAAGCAATCTCTTAAATATTTGAACTAAACTTTGTTAAATTAAACACATCAACTCTTAATAAAACATTTTAATTAGACACTTCTCGTTTAAATAACATTTATTTTAAAATGAAGAAAATATGAAATGCGGTTAATCCGAGTATCACAATTATAAAATAAAAGCTTAGCAAAAGTTTACAAAAGATGTAGTAGGTGTTTCCACTTCACAGTTCACACAGTACAATTCATGTTCCTATATGATTGGCTTTAATTGGCATTATTGTTTTTTGAACTAAATGATAGGTGAAGAAAATGAATATTGCAATCTAGCGTTAGCTAGGTCGTCTTGGTCATAAATTATAATCTATTATTATAGTATTATATATATTATACTATTTTATTACTATATATCAGCATAGGCCAACTCACTTTTATAATTCTACAGCACATGAAAAACTAGACGACGACAGTTCAATTATTTCTCATGTAATTTAATTAATATATATGCACATTGATCCCACATATAATTAATTAACCTGCCCTCCCTTTTAATTATGGTATGTTTATTTATTTTATGCATTTTTTTTAAAAATGAATCGAAGCAATATAGGACTGAATCTCAATATATCGTGGTAGCATGAATACTTAATCACTTCGATATTTTGTCGTATATTCAAATTATATACCTAGTTTATGAACTTTTAACTTTTTCATTGTAGATCCACAAAGCATGTTCAAATTGAAAAAGAAGAATTGGATTTGAATTTGTAATCAAGAAATTACGTCTTGAATTTAATATTTGATCAATTGAATTATCCTGCTAAGATTTTTTACCATGTAACATTTTTTTAAAACAAATTGTCCTATCTTGTCTCGCTCCATTAAATTGTCTTTTTTTAATTTTCCACTTAGTAATATAAAAAATTATTTTGATATATTTTCTTTTATTTTTTACTTTGAAAGTTATTTACTATGTACTATATCTGTCATTTTGTTTAAAAGATTAAATAGTTTTTAGAGGTGGAGTCAGAATTTAAACAATCGAATTTCTAACTAGCCTCTTATAGATCAGAAGTGTATACATTATCTTGAAGCTAGACCAGGGTGTTAGGCTTAATCATTTTCATGCTAAATACTGAGATTCCATATTTAACAAAAGTAGTAGCTAAGGCCTAAGGTCTATAATTAAGACAAAAAAACAACCTGCAATATAATTATGAGAAATAATACACTTTTCACTTATTGCATTAGTCTCTTCAATCATGATTATTAACCAAAAAAATTATAGGTATTATTGTTCCCTACAAATATTCGGTTTGTAACATGGTCTATGAGATATTCCTAGCTAATCATTTTTACATTTTCTATTTTCCTTCTTGTTCTTTTCCCCTCTATTTAGGTTCGTCTAGTCGAGAAATAACGTAATCTGTGATAATTTATTTGTAAATTTATCTCAATCAAATATAAGATAAACTCATTCAACTGGTATAGATGAGTCAAACTTTTAACGAATAACATAGATGAGCCTTTAATCAAAGTTCGATGACATATTTGAGCATTTTCCCTAAATTTATTCAACTGGAATTTATTTTATTCCACCTTTTATTCGAGATAAGTTAATTCAAAATTTACAATTCTAAAATTATTATTTTTAAGATAATTTAATCGACGTACCAAATAACTCGATAATATAAGACTCAAAGTCCAGAAATAAAAGCTCATCTGTATGGTGATTGGCATGTGAGGAGATACGGGACTTGGGAGACTCTGAATTCCCATTAAACTACAGGATATCACGTGATCTGACACAAGGGTAGATGAAAACTTGTTGAACAGTAAATGAATTTATTCTTCTTATAATTAATAATGGAAAAGGAAATGTATTTTAAAATTATTTAATTTTATTTCTTTGTTATATTTTTGGCTTAAAAATAATGTTATTGTCCTATCAAAATACTTTAAAAAGTACTCCTTTTACGAATGGTTGCTCCAACCAAGAAAAATGAGTCAATTTTGTTCTATTCGAAATAGGATCATTTTGCCCTTGATGTTCTATATAAAGTTTAATTACCTTAGGCTTTTTTTTAGTTTTGGTTGTGGAGCAACGATTAGTAAGAATGATAATTTTTGAGTTATTTTGATGATGAAAGGATATTTTTAGTAAAAAGTGTGATGATAAAAATATTTTTGAGCAAAAAAATAACATGCTCTTTTTTTTTTTTTTGGGTGTGGAGCAACTGTTAGTAAGAATAATAATTTTTGAGTTATTTTGATAATTAAAGGACATTTTTAGTAAAAGGCGTTATGATAAAAATATTTTTGAGCCAAAAACATAACGAAGAGTAAAATATAACCATTTTGAATAGTTCAAAAATATTTATAGCCCTTTTTCCTTAAATTAATTGAAATTCGGGTATTGCGGGATACTGTTTGGAAAAAATGATTTTTCCAATAAAAAATATTCATTCTCAAAGCTCAAATTCAATATTTTCAAAAGAAAGACGGAGGGATCTCAACTATCTACTAAAGTCTCACACCTATGTTGGTTCTCTTAGGCATATGCAGG